TGAGAGCAGTACCAGTACTCGTACTTTGGGGGGATACACGTACCAATATGTGTTTGTTTACGTACCCAGCTACATGTATGTCCATGCAAACATACATGTGTAAAGTGTACATGTACTTGTACATTTTACATGTTTTAATGATATGGTACATGTACAAGTATACATGTACATGTACATAGGTTATACACAACTATGCAGTATATTTTCCCCATGCTCCTAGCCCAAAACACTTCACTTCTGCAGCATGTTATGTACGTAAATGACAAGGTTAATGAAACAGCATGTGTTCATGTACATGTAGCACTGTACATGTAAATACAGTGTACATGTACACTGTAAGTTCCTGTTTGTACAGATTCGTGCATGTTTTTCATATTAATGTAAACCTTTCATCAATTCATACATGTACTAAACTTGACAAATCTAATTCCTTCCTTCCTGAAAAATGTAAAAACTTAAGCTTTAGGGGTCAAAAAGTCAACACTGCTTTCAGTTTCACAGGCACCTACGTACAAAAAAATCTGGAGAAAGAACATAAGAAAAAGAGAGAGAAAAAAAAACAAACCCCCAAACGAGAGGCACCCCAATGGGGATATTAGACCTTTTGGTGGGAAAGGGATTCTCAGCACTCTGGAAAACCGTTTATTTTTTCACATTTTTTTCCCCTCAACATTCGGGATGGATTCAAGTTTTTTAGAAAGGAACAACAAACTTGGCGGGTCAAATGTACGCATGCTGTGCATTGGAGTAAATTTCATATTCGTAATTCTAATGCAGGCAAATGTAACGATTTTGCACCTGGCACATGTGCTGTGGCAAAAATGCGTACTGTGCGTGCTGTTTTGACGAATAGACGAAATTCATACCAATTTTGGCATTTTCACGAACAGACAAAAGTGCTTGTTGCAAAACAAACAATTTTAACTGATTTCTATGAATGCTATTTTGTAGTTTTGTGTCATTGAAGACCCTTCCTTCATGGAGTAGCATAGATGAAGTCCAGTGTTTGATTTGCCTTGTATCGCATCACATTTTGCGATGCAATATTGACCAAATAGTACGCACTTTCTAAACTAAATGGCACATTGTGCAATGCAAAATGCAGAGGGCTTCATACTCTAACACACTTGATTCAATCTACACATACATGTACAGTGGGGCACATTATCCTCGAGTCGACAAGGGGCTGACTTTATTGGATTCCACACAACTCGTGTTCACTTGAGATTGCCAAAGTAGGGAACCAGTGACGCTTATACACATTTCGCATGAATGGCGCAGCATACATGTATGTAGCCGGCTCCGGACACAGTGTGCATGCAGCATGTACTGGTACATGTACGGTACTTGACGGTGGACTAACAACACGCAGTCGTCGTTTCATGTTTCTCTGAACGTGTCAAATGGAAGCTGAAATTGGTGCAAATGTAAAAGGTATTAATAGAAGAATGAAAAACATGTTCAACTTACACGTACATTGGCTAGAATAAAAAAGTGATGGATGCTTCCTTTTGAACTAACATTTCTTCCGCTTTACATGTACATGTACATGTACAAAAAATGTACATGTACATGTAGGCTTCGCATGGAGGTATACACATGCATGTAGGTTTTCCCAAATAAAGTTTTTTTAACAAGGGATTAGGCAAGAAGTCAAGTGAATGTCGAAGTTTGCAATGTTAGGGAACTCTAACAATTTATGTACTATCTGATGGCACACTACCAAATGTGCTTTACTGTGCACACGTGTACCATGCATACAATTTACAAGTGCTTTGGCACACTTCATGTACACTGTACATGTTTGTATGCACTGTGCTTTATAGGGCACAGTGTATCACCAGATTGTACGAGTGCAAGTGTTTAGAGTCCCCTAACATTACGCATTTTGACTTTTATAATAAAAATAATAATAAACCGTACTTAAATACCGGTTGCACCTCTCACCTGACTTGTTGCCGAATCCCTCGTTGAAAAAACTTCATTCTGTTAAATACTTGTACTATAACCTTCCTAATACATCCTGTTGAGCCTGCTGAACATGCAGTGTTATGAAATTCCATCGGAAATTTAAAAAGGTGGCGTCCGCAAAGTTGGGCAAGAGATCAGCTGAGTGGGCCCCAATCATGCCAATATGGCACACTTCACAAAATTCCCATGCACTCAAATAAACAATATGAAATTCTATGCAATTGATAAAGTTTGCTAAATTATCATTAGCTCTACTTAACCACCAGTTCGTTAGAACTTTATTCTCCTCTTTCCTGGCACATTTTTAAAAAGTTCGTTTTGGACTACAGGAAAAAATGAAAACAATTGAGCCAAAACAAATTTCTTCATAACTGTGTCCTGTTTGTACATTTACATGTAGTGGGTCAAGATTTTTGTAGAATCAAGATTTTTGAATCAGACTTTCCAATTCCACTAATAATGAAATTTGAGATAAAATTATTTCTTTGGCAAGGCACTAGCTACCGGTAGGCCCAAAAATCAGAGTGCACCACAGTAGGGTATACATGTACATGTACATGTACATCAACATACCGTACATGTATTCTTTCTGCAAGTAAGCCATCACCAGCCACCCCAGAAAGCCAACACAAGTGTTCAAACTTTTGCAAGCAAATAAGGGCCAGATTCTTTCAACATGCAATGTAATTTACATGTAGTTCATCTGAAAAACGGGGTAGCATACTCAGGTGTGTTTAGCCGTTGACGTTCATCATGTAACCATGGTAACAGATCCCGTGGGCAGGTACCTGTATTTTACCGCTAGTTTTAGGTACAGTGTACTTTACACCTACT